CAGGTCCCCTGCAGCCATCTCCTTGTGTGCTGCGGCTGCAGGCACGTTTGTCCCTGTTGGGGTGGGGAAGACAGAAACCACAAACGCCCAGCATGACAGTGAGGGGGAGGGAGGAGTGCGATGAGCTGGTCACTCATGCTCGGGTATTTGGGATCTATTGTGTGTGCATCAGACTGGAGGAGACAGTATGGGGGAACCGCCTAGGGACAGCATCCGACCCAGCTCGATTGTTTCCTGGAATAACGTACCCCACCCTCCATGCAATATGGGCCTGGGTTCTGGGTGGTGCTGCCCGTGGTGTCCTTTTAATGCGAGTCTTCGAAAAAGCCACTGGTTGGAAAGGTCCAAGCAGGCCGTGTGGAGGGACTGAGCACCAGGGGAGGAGACCTCATGCCCCTCAAGGGCCCCCTGGGGTACAAGTATACCAGGGAGTGTGGAAGAGCAAGCATTTGTAATGGCAGAGAAAGGGGTTGTGGCTGGGTCTGGTTTCCAGTAGCAGGATTAGCAGCCAGCCCCTGAGCTGAGGCAGGTTGTTCCCCCTCCCACTCTTTGCAAGCTTCATCTATTGCCTCTGATCCTGTGCTTGTACAGCACCTGGCACAGAGATGTGGTGAGCTCCAGGGTGGTAGGAATAAGGAGACAACTCACTCTTCTGGGAGCTGGAAGGCATGAGAGGAGCAATGAGCTGGATGAGGGAGGAGGTGGGTAGCAGATCTAAGGAGCAGGGGCCGTGCCATGTGATCCTGCAAACTTCATGAGAGCCACAGCCCTGCCGATATCAAACAGTGGAAAAGCCAACATCCAGCTGCAGCTCCTGTCAGGCTGGGTGTCTGGGGGAGCTTTCATAACAACATCAGGCACTGCTCAAACCCACGACACTGATTGCTGCATTGAGAAACAGGCCAAGCTTTGGTTCAGCTATGAGCTAATGCTACGCGACGGGATGTTTCCTTTGATTTCCTGCTTCCGTTTCCTCTCTGTTGCTCAGCTCAGCTGTAGGGTGCAAGCGATGTTCAATGACCTGTACGGAAAGGAATATGTTGGCTAAGCATGAGCGCCCATGTGCATGTATGCTGCTGCCCTCTGCTGTGTGTGTGTGGCTGTGCATGAACCATTGCATGCATGGCGTGCAATCAGTGTGTCTGTGCTCAATGTGGATGTGCCATGATAGTGCATTGAAGGGAAA